CCAGCACAAAATATGGGCCCTTGGGAGGAAGATGTTAATATTTATGGAGGTAAATTTGTTTCATGTAATTTATAAAGTTAAAAAGAAATTTATCAAAAGTACTAAAATAGTAGAAACAGAATACATACTAAAGTTTTCAACAATAGGCTGATCTGAAAAAAATGTGTATTTTTTTTATTTTAGGACGAGATTTACAAACTGGCTGCGAAGGGGGAACTTGGCTAGCATTATCGACTTGTCACAAAAAAGTAGGATTATTGCTTAATTTGCCTGGAGTACATAAGGATAACGCCAAAAGTGAGGTTTGCTGGTGATGGTGTGTTAACTGTAAATTTAAAATGTACATTTTCATCTGCTATAAAAATATAAACATTTACATTTATGTTTAATGGATACCTTGTACTTGTATCTAAATGTGATAAAACATATAACCTTTGACCCCTGTGGTAACATTGAATGTGTTTATCAGATTGTGAATCAATGTTCCGTCTGGTCAAACATTTAGGAAGGTCTTCCTACCTCCCAGAAACTCTGCAGACATAATTTTTTTTAAATAATTTACCAATAAACATGTCACACTTTTCCATGGGATAGATAAATTTGTAAGTTTTAATTACCATTAGCCCTTGCAAGTGACTTTGTCTGCACAGAATTGAAAAAAACTTTGAAGAAACCTGTGTGCTATTCCAGACAGTGCTCTTTGTGCAAAAGTGAATGATTTTAACATTAAACATCTAGATTGATTTAAACAACCCCAAAGGTTATCTGCTAAAATTCATCCATCTTAACTGTCACTTTTATAATATTAGTAAGATTAGTGATATTATCAAACTAAAAGTGTAAAAATTATTATTAAATTTTCAGGCAGAGGTAAAATTGTTGAAAATTATGTTAAAAGTGATCTAGAATTAAATACTTATGTTGATTCTATGAAAGAATATTTTCAAGAATGCAATGAATTTGTATTAGTTGCTGTTGAATTTGGGTATGTAACTTATTATAAATAAATAATATTCGTAATTCTACAAAAGTAAAATATAAATAAATTATTAAATAATAATAATTTTTGCTGTTTGTACTTACCATAACGTTTTTTAGTTGTCTAATATTCTATATTACTTGTAAAAAAAGTTTACAAAGTAAATATTTGACATCCTAATATTTTTCATCTGTTTCAGAAATCTAGTACCTATTGTACAAACCTACAATAACGGGAATAATGAATTAAAACAATGGCATGATCAATATTTAGGCTTTAGTAATAGCCTCCCAGATCAGCCGTTAACAAAAGTGGTTGCTGGAAAGTGTAAATTACAAGATGCTTGCAATAAATATAAGAAAATAAATGACAAAGACCAGTTAATTGAAGAATTAATCAATGTTTTGAAATCTGAGGAAAGGTAATTTTTTAGTACTTTGAGAATATTTTGAATACCAAAAAATAAAAAGATGAGTCAATTATATTGAATATGTGTTACAAAATTATTTTAGTAGAGTTTAACTGACAAATAGATGATAATCAATAATCTATTTTAGTAATTTACCGGACCCACAATTGGAACAACGAAGACCACTGATTTTTAAAGAGCTAAGCTCAATTTTTGTAAGAATACCAAAGGCAAGATATGGCACCAGGTAAAATAATTGTACTTATCTGTTTCTCATATTAAATTCCTAAGAGGAAACTCTTCTTAAAGCATAAATCCAATATCTTACTAATATTATAAGTGATTCGCACTTGATCTCACTAATCACAGATGGATCTGTATTAAAACTTGGCACACATATAGCATATAGTTGGGAAGAACACATAGGCTACTAATTTTTTTTAAATTCCACATGGACGGAGACGCGGGCGACCGCTAGTGTAAGAACAAAAATTCATGTAACCAATTGGTCACTTAAATATGTTTTCCTTTCAGAGCACATACTATAATTTTGTTAAGTAAAACTGGGGAAATGCATATAATTGAACTGAGCATGGAATCCCCAATAGATCCATTGAGACCATCCTGGGTAAGAGGTGATTTTAAGGTTAATATATAAGTATAAATTTTATCATAATATAAATTTTATTTTAATGTTTGATTAAAGACATTGACTTGTATGAACAAAAAAACACATCATAACACATATTGTGGCAAAAAAATTGCTAAAATTTCGTAGCAAAAGTCCATTTTAATAAAATATTTATAATGTTATTTATTTAAGAAAAAACTAATAGAGATATATATAATATATTTTGTATGTTTTGTTACAAAGAGATTTTACTGTTGAAGTTTCATTGTTATTGTTTCTAATAAAAGATATATTTACAACTGTTTATTTTATTGTTGTATACACCAATTGCTCACTGCAAATTCCGGTGGTAAGGAAAAATCAGAATTCTGCTCCAAAACACAACCTAAAAACATTGGTACATTCAAAATTGTACCAGATATTATATGTGGATACTTGCTTTGTTTCTCATCGGTGTAAGTAAACATTAATCTCTTTGATATAAAATCACCACTCACCGAAATATTTCCTATCTCAATGTAAGACTTTAAAGAAGAAGAATACATTTCAATAGAAACTCTCAGTGATTCCCACATTTGTAGCTTTTCAGCGGTAACAATACTCAAACGGTAAGGGTAACCAATGTTACTGTATATATTTTTGATTACTTCAATTGTTTCGTCAAGTATTATATCACATTCTTTGACATTTTTAGTCGCAATAAACATTGATATAACAGATGATTGGCTAACATTGAACAAGCCAATTTTTTTCTTATCTGCGGGATTGTATTGTCTTCCCATAGAAAAATACTTCAAAGGTAATGCATTGCTATGCAAGACATTCTTAGTATAATATGCAAAGAAGGAAAATAACGATCCACCTCCTGTTAAATGCAAGCGATTATCTATATTCACTTTTGAATCTTCATTATGATGTATAATAAATGTATGATTAGGATTTGTATGATCATGACCGCATCCTTCAATAATTAAACTCTTAACAAAGTCCGGATTTGAGAATTGCGTAAAACCGCTGTCTTTTAATGATTTACTGAAATAAAACTTTGCTCCCAGTTCAAATATAGCTGCATCACCTTTTAAATAATAGTTTTCTTCATTTGTAAACTGAATCAAATTTTTATCTTTACCTAACTTTAAATGATTTTTTTCATTTTCAGGGGCAGTTTTATATGTAAAGAAAACATTGTTTTGCAAGCTTGGAGTTTTTGGGTGTAAAATATTTGGTAATTTTAATGATTCCACTATAGCAGCTTCCTCAGCTGACCAAAATGGTACTTTTAACTTTTTAATATTTTCTTTTAACAAACTGGACTGTATTTTAAATTTTTCTATATTATTATCAGATGGATTATTTTTAAATAAATTTGCCAATTCACTACTGATTTCCACCTTCTTTTTTTCAAGTTCATTTCTTTTATTTTTGAGATCTTCATACAACTGCCATAGATCTTCAACGTTTGCTAAATCTATATTTGATTTTCTTCTGGCTAGATTTGCTTGAATTACTTCTTTATGTTTTATAGCCTCAGGAAAGTCAACATGTGGGGTTATATAAACAAATGTATCAGTAGCTTTTCGGCCATTTATGAATAGAGCAGAATATCTAACATGTAATAGGCTGCAGTCTCTTAACTTAAACAAACAACTTAGAATAGTTTTATGTATCATCTTCGTCGATTTTCTTTTTCTTACTTGCTGTACTATCATCTAACACAACATCACCATCCTTATCAATTACGTCTGAGTTATTATTTTGTGTAACTATTTTCCGTTTACTAGGAAATTTGAAATTACCGTGACCAGCGGCACGTTCCGATTCTTCGATACTGTATGGCTCTAGCTCTAAAGCTTTCAACCTTCTCTTGTGTACTTTTGTTTTAAAGTGTTCAGACAGTGCTTGTTCGTCAATGAAATAACGAGCGCAATGGAGACAGTAATGCTGTGCAGCACCAGGTAAATCCAAATCAACGTTTTGATTCAGTAATTTCTCAGCATTTTCTGTAAAAGTAAATATTATTTGTTGTTAACCTAGTACATAACCTAAAATTCTAATGCAACGCACGTGAGTTTTCAAAATTAAAGCACATAAATAAACTTACCCTCCTTTAAATCGCTGTCGATTTCATCAAGATCCTTCTTTCTATTTCTCAATCTCCATCGCCTTTTTAGATGAGTGTCACCGTGATGATATTTTTTTCGTTTATATGTCATGATGTCCAAAACACGTCAAAATCTTTTCAATTTCAAAGTCAAAGGATTGAATGACAATTGACATTGGTAAACCAGAGATAAAAAGACAGATAATATATAGACATCATAGAGTCAATATTTGCAATTGAGATTTTAAGTAAAACTTAAAACCTCAGGATAGACAGAATGAACAAATCCAGATCAGTAGTAAAATTAAACAAAATTTTTGATTTTCATAAGGTAAGAGATGTCTTTTTGCCTTCATATCGATTGTGGCAAATATGATTCAATTTAGGTCTTTTATAGCTAACTTGATTGAGTTTGAAGCATTATGAACACTGGAGATATTAACCTTTATTTATGACTCTTGATTATTCAGCGTTTGATGACTTACAAATTCCTCTAAATTATCCTTTTTTTTCAAACTTTCTTGAACTCCTGAGGACAAGCGGGCAACAGGCAGTTTCTAAGTAATTCTTCTACTATCAATTTATAATATACGGTAGGAAAAATGAAAGAGCATCATTTATTTATTCATATAATATAAACTTATTTAATAAAATTCAGAGAAACAGTATCATACATGAATAAATACAATACTAATAATGTAATCAATAAACAATTAATTTTTGTATTTAAAATTGTTTCTTACAACACAAGAAACGCAAAAAAACATAACATTGTGTTTTATCATTAAATCGTTAATGAAAGGAATGATTGAATATATATTTCAACATCAATTGATTATATTAATTTAAACTCTCAAAATACTATTACTCATAACAGTATATGGAGTTCAAGAATACTACAATTCTGGGTTATTCAGATTAAAATACTAATCATAAATATTGTTTGCTAACAAATTACTTTGCCCCCAGAAAGCCATTTTACTCGAATATTTTAAAATCTAATGAAGGCATATTAAGGTGTTATGTAACTAAAGCAAATCCTGTGATCAACTCTCGTACAATGTTCGCATTTAAAATATAACTAATCTATTTTGCCTAAAATAAATCTATTCGTATCAAATAATTTTATAATATTAATCATATATTAATGCAACTAAAGAATTGCGTGTAATTCAAAATCCAACTGATAATCTTTTATCATTGTTCATATATTGAAAACATTATATACATATAACTTTCAATGAAAACGGCGGTATTTTTTTGTACATCGTACACCGATATATCTAAAATTTAACTCATTATAATCGTAATATTTATCATATTTTAAGATTTTTTAAGTAAAATATAAGACGAATGTATATTTCTGTTAGAATTTTCGCACTGGAAATGTAAGCCATATAAAGCCAATTTTTTAAATATTCGTAGCTATTCTTTTAATTTTTGAAACAACACTAACCACTATATACATAAACATGTAATTATTTTATCTATGCACCTAGTGGCAGATCTAAGCTTTGACAAATCTATAATTTGGTCACAGCTGCTCGCTATATTATGTTAAAGTCTGTTTAAAAAAGAGCCCTGTTTTATATTATCTAGATGATTTATAGATTTTGATTATGGAATAAGATTTAGTTTTTTTAATACTTCTAAAATCTGAGTTTTTTTTTGAAAAACTGGTCTCTTTTTTAAAAGATTACGATCAACACAGTGTATACACTCGCACTACTTTAAAATACGAACGCTATTATAACTGGATATATAGAATAGTAACACCTCTTTAAATTTATCTATGACTCACTAATGATCGTACCATGGACATGAAATTTTATATATTCTGTTATAAACTTCAAATTCTAATTAGCCGATATTCTGTAGGTTAACTAGCCGACAATTATCTAATAAATAATACCGTAAAATTTCAAAGTTGCGTTTACCTTAAATGTTATTGTGAATAATCATAAAGATGATTTATTTTATTACTATATTTGAAATGGAATTTAAAGTATGTAACATCAATAACTACACAATGAAAGTAGCAACGATGAGAGCTATATGAATTATATCGTTTATATTTCCACAACATGAAACATCCTGTACCTCAATGCACTTTCAAACAAATTAGGCCACGAAATTAAAAAGAGAATGTCGAATCTATGAAAAGTTTAACAACTTTCTATATTTTTTATTCAAAAAAAGCAGATATAGAAAGTGCATAGAGGTTGGAACTGAATCTATTAACGCAGTGTTGGGATAGACATGTCTATATACAGGAAGATCCCCGGGCGTAGTCCCTAGGAGTTAGAACTGGTAGTTCCCCCACGCACGTGGGGAGGCAGTTCCCTACATGCCGTAACCATGGTAAGGCGCCGGCGACGGGGCTTGCGCGGCGTACGCGTACGGAGACGCTTGGGCCGCCACACCAGGGTATGCCATAGACGGTCCTGAGAAAATATACAAAACGTAATATAAGCGACAATTTTTCTTTAAATATTACTTAAGTACATAAAGTATTAAAAATATAACCCACCTATAATAGCTAGACCAAAACGAAATGTAAAAAGTATATTAATAAATAATTAAAGTTATGTAACCTACAAACTAGCGGTTGCAGGGGACTTCGTCTGTGCAGAATTTAAAAAGGAGGCTATATAAAAGTCGGTCTAGCCATATCGGAGATTATTCGGAACAATTGCGGCCTTGGGGACAGACAATTTTTTCCCAGATTACATACCAAGACAATCCAATTTTATTAACATGTATAGATTACGCGACAATGCAATGCATGAAGCGCTTTGAACTCCAAATATTTTAACTGTAAATAATAAGTATGGTAACGGGCAAGATTACCATAGTTGTATACATAGACCAACAAGTTCACTGAGATGTCTAATCGAGTTTGTCTTATAATCCAAGACACTAGCATCGTGTTCGACTTTTAATTATTTGACAGTTATATAAACATTAGTAGTATTTCACATTCGACGGCAGGTGAAACCGTAGAGCACAGATAATATTTTTAAAATTATACAAACCGGCGGTAAGCATGAGCTGAGGTTCCATCATCATGGCGGGCTTGGCCTCGTGCTCTGCGCTCTCCGTGCTGCGTTTTGCATCTGCCTCCTCCAACTTTTCCACTTTAGTCGTCAACTCGCGTACAGTCTACAAAAAATACAGGACTATTTAATTTCTTTATTTGTACAGAGAATGTAACAATAATTTTATTTTAAAAACCAAATGGTATGATTGGTATGAAGTTGATATCGATGCCGGAAAATACAATGCAAAACCCCAAAAGATAAACAATTTAGCTCCTAAAAACTTTTTCAATATCTAAATGTTGTTTGTAAAATATGGTGAAATAATTAAAAGTCTAAACAGCAATATAAATAAGATGCTAGTTTTACTATATATTTTACTCACTTGAATTAGGAAAGGCATTGCAAAGTCCATAATGTTATGCCTCCATGCCAGTTCAATAACTACATCGGGTTTCAATAAGTCGTAACACTGAAAAACAAAACAAATCATTTACATATGAATATAATTGATCTTTAATTTGAAGTTACGGATTATCCAGAAATCTTTCCGTATCGTTAAAGTATTAATAAATGGAGAAAATTATAATAATATTCAATTTTAGCGCAAAATTATACACATGAGAGAATGTATAAACTTGTAATTTCTGTTATGGGCAGTTTTAACAGTATTGTACCTGGTACAGGCAAGCAGAGAAGCACTCAAAGTTGTCGCGCTCAAGGAACCAGTTGAGCAGCTCCTCGGCGACGTCAGACTGGCGCGACTCCGCAGCGTACTCCATCGCGTCCGCGTACAGCGCGTCCTTCTTGCACAACTCCACGCTCTGCTTCCATCTGTTGTTGCCTGACACACAAATATATTGTTAACATCATTCTAAAAATCTCCAAAGTGTTTGTCTATGGTGAAAAAGCTACAGGTTTAGATTGGAACGTAATATAGTTTCTACAGTTAAAGGTAAAATTTTTAGTTAATCAGTCTTAAATACCTTTATACAGATAAGCAGCAATCCTTCTAAACTCAGTCAATTCGTGTTTCTCTAGTTGTTGCGCGAGAGCAATGGTGTCGAAGTTATCGAATGCATCTATAGATGTTCTTAGACCCTGGAATAGAAAAAATAATAATATTAACATGAGTTCAATATATGATTATTCAAATTTATACCTAAAACTATAAATACATAATGTCTGCACAGTAAAATTTAGACTAATTCGTCAGTAAATCATGCTTGTCTTGTTACCTGGTAATCTTCTTCATCAATAAGCAGTGAATTGAGTGCTTCATTAACCGCCTTGTTGTTCAAACTCTGCACGGAGCGGAGGTAAGCCTTCACCAGCTGCAGATGACCAGCTTTGGTGAAGAAGTTAACAGCGCGTGTGTGGTCCATGCGCGGTGCGAGCACCAGCAACAGATCGTTCAGTAACAAGGGCTTGTAGTCCAAATAGAACTGGATCGCTTTGTAGTATAGTTCCATGTTTGCCACCTGAAATATGTAGGAGTTAGCTTAGTTTGGATGACAGAACTCAATATTATTTGATCAAGAATATCATTAGTAAGAAACAATAGAAGAAGCCATGAGAAGTCTTGTTTTTGTGACTAAGTATTATATTATGAATAGTTACGGCTTGTACGGTTGCATGTTGTACCTTCCGAAACTCTGTCTGTAAACTGTCTTATTTCTTGATAATCTAGCTAACGGTTTTTTCTTACCTTAGTGATGATGTCCTTGAAGTGTCCCTCGCGCCAGGCCTCTGTGGGGTGCTGCATCATGGTGAGCGCCGCGTTGTCGTACTCCTCATACTTGTCGTAAAGGAACACCAGCTCCGACCACAGGTGAGCTTGTTCCGCCGCGCGTAACACCTGCAAATTTCAAATAAGAATGTGAATGATTTAAAATTTGACAAAAAAACGCTAGTACGGTTTTAAACAATAATTATGATCCTGGTTAATAAGATTAAGAATAAATAGCATCTGGTGACGCAACAATTCGGCGCAGGTTCTTATTTGTAGAAGAAGACTTCTATTTGTTAAAATGCATATGTAATGAGTAAAAATATGTACCTTACCTTGGGTATATTAACTCGAGACCAGAAGAGCTCCAAATGTTCGCGCATCTTGGCGGTCTTGTACTTGGAGTAAAGGATGGCCAGCTCGGTGAACATGCCCATGTGCGCACGCTCCAGACCCAGAGCCGCTTCCAGGAGGCTGATCAGCTCGTCGAAGTGGCCTCGGTCCTAAAGACATTAATTATAAAATAAATATGACAATTATATTATTATAATGAAAATGACCCGTGCTTGGTTGATTAAATATAGGTCTAGATCACCACATTCTGAATGTGACAGATTTCACTGTTACCTTCCACCTAGTACAGATTACCTGATAGTAATTAATGAGGTCCTCGAGTTCGTCAGCATGTACGACAATGTGCAGTCCGCACATCTGCGCCAGCCGGAATTCCCCGGCGTCGACACACGCGAAGCAAACCTCCTTCCATGTACGAGTTGAGTTCGCTTTGCGGGCACTGTCCACCGCACCTGAACAATATTTAATTTATTGAAAATGTGATGTTATTACATTATCAAAAATGTATAAAAATCCATTATTTTTGTATGGATGTGATTTTATATGAAAACAAACAGTATTGCAAAAACATTATCAGACATTGGGATCGAAATTAATTTTTTTTGTACAAACTGACAACTTTATTATTTTTTGTCATTTGTGGTAACTATATTTTAGTAGCGATATTTTACATTTTTTGGTATTAAAATGTATCATACCCTGGAACTCCTTGAGATGAACCAATGTGATGGCCAAACGGGCAAAGTTGCTGACATTATTATAAAGAAGTTTAGCAGCATTGTACATCTTGTCTTCGAAGCATCGGTCACCGATTTTCTGTATGTCAGCGTGGTTCGGCCCAGAGATGAACTCCTCTAAATCAGCCAAGCGACCGGTGCGGGCATATGCGTAGATAAGTTCCGATTCGATGTAAGATTCACGCGCCTTCTTACGGGCCATCTATAAAAAGACTTATAATTAGAATTGCCAAATACCTTCATTAAATTTATAATAAGTTAATGATTTGTGGTTATAAGTCAAATGTAAATTAAGAAATAAGTCACACTTGCCTGTAGATATCGAACAAGATCTTCCCAGGACTGTTGTTTAGTGGCGGTGTCCACCACATCCATGTATGCTGAAGGATCATCAGCCTTGATGTATGAATCAATGGCTTCTTTGACCAGCCCTTGTTGGAGTTGTGCCTTAGCAAGCTGCGACCACACGCCCGGCTCGTTGCAGCGCTCCGCAAACTCGTATGCTCGTTTCAGGTCTTTTACTTGTTCGATTAGAACCTGGAATGGATTATATATGTAAAATTCGCATGCCAAAGATGTTCAGTATAGAATTTGAGCGAATTGTAACATAAGGGGTAAAGTGAAATTGTACAATGTAGACTACTAACAGTTATTAACAAAGAACACTTTAGTGCAAATATCTTGAAAGTTATGCATAAAAAGAAAGGTTAATATTTCCTGTTTTTTGATTGAAATTTTAAAAAAAGTAGTACTTGAAATTATACCTGAATGGCGGATGTGTTAACATCGAACTTCTTGAAGATGGCAAATGCTTCTTCGTACAATTCGTTGTTGATAGCTATGTTCGCGATATCGGGGGCGTCGTAGTTGTCCAAGCGATTGATGTACTCCATCACGCGGCTTCGGTCAGCCTTGATTGCTGTCAAAGAAAATCAAATAATGAGTTTACACTGGAAACTCAACTTCTACTTGGAATAACTTCCACAACATATCTGGCTCGTTAATAATTAAAAAACTGTAGTCTTAATAAAACATATTTTTGTCTCTATTTTTTCAAACAGAATGAGAGGGATAAACTTATTCTTAAACAAGTGTTTCGACTGTGGAATCGTCAATGTCTTCTTACCTGTAAGTATAAGCAAGTTCTGCAGATTCCTGTGATCAGAGAACACAGAGTTGTCGAGTACAATCTTCTCAAGCAACTCAATCAGTTCATTGGGCAGGTCTGCTGTCATGAAAGCCTTTACTGTCACCGAAATGTCTTCGGGATCTTGAGTCTCCGACAATGCGGTTTGTACAACCTGAAAATTTATTGTTAAAATGAGCACAATTTATAGAATTATCACGATATTTCTTTTTTTTGTTGAATTAATTGTAGTCACTAAGTATTGGTAGTAAAAAATAAACTTATTCAATACTTGTTTCAATAAATTCATAATAATATAAAGATTATTGCACAGAAAGTGAGAAAAGAGCATGCAGTATATTTTCAAAATAGTTATGACCACTGATCGTGGACGTTTACGTACAATAACTTAATATGTTGCAATTTTTACCTGACTAATGGGTACAAAAGAGGAAGTCAAGAAAAAAATATGTCGCTTTTCTATACATTATTGCTGTAAACATTATGTGATGTGGGATTTACCTGGTCGATAAGCTGCCGTTTGAATGGGTTGGATTCAGCGAGTACTTCAAGCCAGAGGTCCTGGTCACGGCGACGCACGAGGTACCGCGCTTGCGTCTTGAACAGCGAGTTGTCATTGCAGACGGCGATCAGCTCACGGTCGCACTGCCCGCGCTCGTATGCCACGCATGCGAGGTGCGGGTCACGCTTCTCGCAGTAACGACCCACCACGCGCGAGTCGTACCTGTGGTAGACAAATCTTTTAATAAAAAAGTGATTGTGTTTCGAATATAATGAGTAAATTCTGCAAAATTATTATAAGGCAGATATTCAGAAAGATATGTTAATTTTTTGGAATCTTTTAAAAAATGAACTGATTTTAAGAAGACCATTACTAATAGTAAACTCTTCTCATCACGAATAATAATATAAGTCTTGGTAAACGACTGTTAATTTTATTCAGGACGTATTGTGGCCATATCACGACATAAAAGTTAGTCACTCACCATTGGTTCTCTTTGAGGAATCTTTCTGGGTTATTGTTGGAGTCAATGTAGATCTTGGCGAGAGCATTATGGGTCGCGGGCTCAGTACAGCCCTCGTGCACGCGGGTTTCCAGCCACGGGAGAAGTAGCTTCAACCTACAAAAATTATGTTGTCATTTTTTAAATGAAAAATAATTGACCATACTATTAGACAAATCTGTTATTGCAGTATAAAAGAAATCTTCACTAAGGGGCTACCGAAAAACTTTTGCGTACTACAAATAATCTAGAGCAAAGATTAAATAATAATTGTTACCTATTTCTCTTCTCGACCTCAGCGACCAGCTCGTCTGTGGAGAACTGTCCGCGGACCACCAGTATCAAGTTCTTGATGATATCCTCCGCGCAGTCCACGTCGAGTAAACCTCCCACTACCACCGGCAATCGGGATGGATTCACCTGTAATTATCATGAAGTAAAATTAGTTTCTTTACTATATTTGTTTATTTATTAAGACAAGCCAACGGCTTACGGCTACATAGAACATTAGTAGTTAGTAGCATTGTAGAAAATTCAAAAAATTTAAGACTAGAGACTAGCCAGAGAACATTGTGAACCATATGTTGTTTTTGTCACATACCTTTTGCACATAAATTTCAATGTATTTCTGCAGACTGTTTCTATATAGATAGAGTACAAGATCATGTACGAAGTCAAAGCGGTCGCACACTATGATGAGCGGCAGTTGATCGGGCAGCTTGGCTTCTTTCAAGAAGTTCTTAACGCGCTCCGCATTATAGCAGTTTGATTCCCGACAGATACGTTCCACTTCTTTTATCTGACCTGTCTTGCAGGCAGCCTGGAATTAAAAAAAAATATAGTATAGATTCAATTTATAACTATAAGTATAAATAAAAATCACAATTTAAGAAATACAACTAAATCTAACCTGAATGTACTTGAAATGGACTTCCGAATCTTGACTGAAGTTAACAATAGAGCCGAGGAAATAAAACAGTCCTTCATAAGTCTTGAAGCTTTCAAACAACTCGATGAGTGCTTTAGTGGTCAACTGCTCGTGGTATTTGGTCGCGATTTGCACGCAGATCTGCAAGTTCTGACGTATGTTCGCCTGTAGCATCGCTTTAAGACATTCCAGTGAGTCTTCAACTGACAGAGTTCCAAAGTATGTCACCAGCCAATCAGCGGACAGTAAGTGGGTGTGAACCTGTAAATAAATAGCATAATAATTATGTTGGTTGTGTCAGAATACTTATAATACCTACGTAGACATAGAAAATGACACAAAAGAAAAAAAAAATACATTACAGCTACAGGCGAAAAAGGATCTTGTGACATTTTTTGACGTTGACAGGGTAGTGAGTTGTCAGTGTATATAGTATGTCTCACTCACCACAGCCCGCTTGATGTCATACAAGTCAGTATAATGTTCCAAGGCGCGTTGCAATAGCCCCGCCTTCTCGCAGAGCTGGGCGACGTGCGCGCGGTCGTAGTGCGTGAACATGCCGTTACCGAGGATAGCGTCTGCCACCTGAGGCGCTGACATCAAGTTCATCTCCAATAACCTGAGGAATTGATAAATTGTATGTGTTATAACTGGAGTGACAACTGAAATTACCAATTTTGAAGATAGTGGTTTGGGAGATAATCATGGATTATAAACAGAAGTTTTATGATCACCAAATTAATACAATAAATACCTAAAGAAATTAATCATAACATTCTAAAATACCTTGTTTGCAGGGGCCCCTCCTCGGGGCGATTATTCTTCAACGCGTCCAAGAGGAAAGCGGTACACTGCTGCACCATGTTCTGTTCCATGAAAACGTCAACTATCTGGTTGATGTCAGCTAGCGGCGGGTCTTCAGCCACCAGCATACCAGCGAATCCTGCACCTTGCTCAGGGTTGGTGCGCATCACGGAACGCAGCAGGTAAATGTAGTCTGGTGTGTATCCAACCTGTAAGATATTTTATTTAAGATAAAAGAACTGCTTTATTAAAAGTAATAAAGATAATTTAGCTTATAATTAAATTTTGCAAATATCAATTGTTTGTATGAGCAAAAAAAGTACATTCATAAAAATTGTCCAAGTATTTTATCATGAAATCATACTGTGGTTATAAATTCAATAAAAAATACCTTCTTAGCATACAGAACAATCTTCTGGAACTGTCCAGTTTCAGCAAAACATTGGATAACTTTGCTGGCCACATTAGCACGTAGATATACGGACAAGGCAAGAGTGAGGTCCACCGGCTTTACCAAATCACCTAGTTCTTCTGAACACTCCAGCTTTTCTTCTTTAAGCCATTTCTCCAGAAGTTGCTTACGACCTGATAAAAGGATAAAATGTTTGAAATTAAACCATGGTTTCACAATTATTTCTACATTTTGGAGACAGAATGTGTATAAATATTATGTTACCTTGTAGTAAAACAGGGCGACAAAGTTCCAATGATTCAAACTTATTCAACTGCGCTTGATCTAGCAACATGCCGAAGTATTGTAGTAGAGGCGATGTTTGACCGGACTGGGTCGGCACTTGTTGGAAGCGTTGGATTGTTTGTGGTGTACGGAGGATGCCCCTAGGCGCCATTGCTGCGACCTGATAAAAATAACCAATTAAATATCAAATTCTTCTATTATATCCAATTCAATTCACATTCTTCCAGCTCGAGAGACCAAAAGAATTCATTCGTTTGATCAACTTTAACAAATCAAAGTTAATAAAAATAAAAATCCAATTTTAATGTTTACCTTAGCTGCCTCAGCATACTGTCCATTGGTAAACAGCATGTTGAACTTGCGAACGAAAAGTTCTTCCGCCCCTGCGAGATTGTTTCTAACGGCCAGTCGGAGAGCCAATTCAGGGTTTTGTAAGACAGTGTTTATGTAAGGTACTATGGAGTCCTCTTCTACTGTCACTGACAGAACTTGTCCTTTTCGGTTTACACCTTTAAAAAGAAAGATTCAATTGTTTTTAATTAACTTTGTAAAACATAATGTTTTTACTTTTCAACTTGAAAAACATAAAAAGGGGGTTTAATCCTCCATTTAGTTCCATAACAGAGATTTACTGGCTAGTCCATAATTAGCAATTGTAGTTTAACAAACAAAGAAAAGCGACTTATGGGCTATAAACTCACCAATAATACCGCCAGTTGCTTCATGCGGCGCGGTAACAAATATAGTGTCAGATGAGATACGGTTCATATAGATGCATGTTCCAGTCTCGATGTCGTACATATGTATGTAGCCGTATTTGGTGATGAGGTAGATGACATCATATTTAGGCGAAACTTGCATGGCGACGGGGAAATCGTTCTGGGCCTCCGGTGGGAAGAATACGTCCACGGCTTTCTTTGGGAACGGTTGATTGCCGGCGGGTGTTTGACCAACCTCTGTTAAATTAAAATGCGATTAATTGCCACAGCTAAGTAAATTAATTAATTTACTGTAGGAAATAAACTTGGAGTCTTCACATTAATTGTTACTTGTATAGCCATTTATAAATCATAAAAACTTTGTGAAAGTTTAGTTATAACTCGTTAAGCATACCGATAATATGCAGTTTCCCTCCTTGCGCGGTCCTCACAGCGAAACAGAAGAGGGTAGAGGGTTCAGCGTTGCCCTCGGCTTTGAATGTTGCAAAAGAGGCCGCGTGGCCCTCGATAGGTTGCGAGCACTTGCGTTCCACAGAATACAGCTGCATTGCGCCAACCACACGATTCTGTTGCGCCGAAATACCTAACAAAAAGAAAATTTAAATAGATATGAGACAGTTAAAAAAATTACATCATACAAGTATTCGGAGAATACCTACCAACTAACAACAACCACTGTTGTTTGGGATCCGTCCTGTAGTTAATGATCTGACAATCGGCTAGTGATGAATGTCTATCAAATATTTTCACGGGAGTAGAATCGCCCTCCATCGACCAATGGTACACAGAAACCCTGGTGACCAGCGCCAGGGTATTCAAGGAAATCCACTTCCAAAACACGATGTCTTCAGTCATAGTATGCGCCTTCATCTTGGACTTCATTTCGATATTAAATATCTGGAGCGTCTTTTGAGCTACAATGAAATTATATAGGCACTTTTAATTATTAGGGTTACAAATAAAGAAAAATCAGTCTCTAAGAAAAGGTTCGGAAACCCCGTCTAATAAAAAAATGTTCTATTGGGCTATTTGAAGCTGTAATTTGCAAATGTAAATTATCAGTTCATTATTAAAAAATTAAATCTATTACATAAGGCCCCATTCGAATTATTAATGCCTCATTAAGTGTTTGTAGGATGTCTAGTGTTCCTGTTTCGTCATCGCGTATGGTTAACGGTAGCAGGAATTGCGCATCTCTAGTAGTTATGTAACGAATAACGATTTCTTTTGAGTATTCTAGCTATTTAAATATGAAGCGTTGCGTGTCTGGGGCAAAAGAATTTATCACCTTTTCAACAAGTTTAACGTAGATTAATAATGGATAACGTAGTGGACATCGAAAATTTGTTTATTGTATAAAAACAATAGAAAATATTGGTTAAGAGATATTGTACATCTGTAACACAAGGAATACGGGAGAAAGTACTAATTAGAGGAAACCTCAAACGCTAAAGGGAATAAGTACCGAGGGGGCTTTCAAAGGACAGATTTCAAAAGCCTATAAGTTGAAACGTGTTGCAGCACGATCCTTTGACGTTGCAACGTTGCAACTTCGTATATTAGACACTAAAGCGTTCTAGGAAAACACCACTTCTCGAGACGATTACGGTACAATCCAGTGGTTTTTACTCTACTACGACGCCATACGACATTTTATCCAAAGAGTTAAAAAGGGTTGAATGTTTACGCGTATTATGTGTCTTTATAATCGTGCTTTCTAAAACATTGGAACCGTTTTGTTTGGCGAAGTTGACATCATTTTTATTTTTAGAAGCTTTCTTTGTCAGTTTTAATTTAAATATTTTCATGTAGAATGCTCAAATGTAGTATTAACTAATTCGTGTAAGATCATTGGTCCATTTAGTTGTTTACGTGACAGTCTGGTACGCCCACTTCAATAATATTGCTAATATTAGCTTTCATATCTTATAAGCAAGTATTATGACCAACTTAAATAGATTGTTTTCATTTGTATAGGTGCATCGACTCCATTAATAATAAACTTTGATAAAATCGTAAGCTATGTATGTTTATAAGTGACTAAGTCTTTGTCTAATCTTACAAAGACCTGTTCTTTTACTACACCTAGAAAATTATATAGACCTACCATTTTCATCGATCTAATTAGTACTAAGAAGAAAATCCGACACTGTGCCGGTGTTTCAGCGCAAC